ACAGCCGTTCGGGCAGTGGGTCTGTTCTTTGTTACGACCTACATTGATCAGTAGTAATACAGGTGAATGGCGCTTCAGAACGAAAACCAAAAACATACAAGTCGTAAGTTGACAGCTTTGTTGTTATTTATGATCATTGGTAGGATGTCAACCCCTTTTGAGTAAAACGAATTAGCCCAGTGAGTAAGGTATTTTGACACCTCAACCATGATGACTTAATCCCAGGAGAACAATTACTTAATCCCATTAGTACGATGTTTTAACCCTCTGAATACTTAAAATACTGCTATTCTGCTTGGTATCCGAGATATGCCAAATATTACCAATTAATTGAGAACGTCTAAAAGAGGGCCATCAAACTGGTGCTGGCAGTCAGACGCCTCATTTACCAAGAGAGACTATAACGTTTAGGATTGTCCAATTCATAATAAAGAAGAGCAAGGGGTCGGTCCAATCAGGGGTCAGCAGGGGGGATCAGAAGGTAGACGGGTCTGGCTAGCTGTAGATTAAAACAAGTCAGGGAGTAGAGCTCTGTACATTTACACTCTAACAAGGGGTGATTTAATAGTTTGTAAGTACTTTTGGCGGCATTACACAGTTAAATCCACATATCTGGAGATGGAGGATGGCCATCCCATTAGAAGTCACAGCCTGAAGTTAAAAAAATAAATATATCAGTTCAGAAAACTGCCAGAACTAACTTCTTGGAGAGGAGTTGTGAACTCTTAAAATAACCTGCCAGAGAATGTGACATCACCAAGAGTGAGCTCCAGACTTGACCAACACTGGCACATACTGTACTGGCATATACTCCACATTTCAAGAAGCGCTCAACACACTGACCCTTTCGACTCTCACTGACCATCACCACGACCTCATCTGCAAATTTGGTAAGAAGCTTCTACACCATCCTCGACACCGGCTCCTACTACCACCTGAGATCCCTAGCCCGAGAATTGCTGTTCGACACCACAACCGCATCCAGCCCATACGTGCACGAACTGATAGCTATAAGAACAGCCCAGTCCCAACCATTGTAAAAATTATCAATAACTTGTAATAAACCAGTGTATTCACTCCCAGTAAATACTACTTCTTGCACTGTCACTATGTTGAAATGCACTGTAGTTTGAGCTTTTCCCCATCTAGTTATTATATATCTTATTTGTATCACTTATGTTACTTGTATATTATTTGTAATTCGAAACCCATTCCCCAAATATGTAACTGTATATTTTCAGCCTTCTGGCTGCCAAGCTCTTTCAATAAACCGTTAATTATTATTATTATTATTATTACATTCGAGAGCCTATACATGACCAGTACAGTAGTTGATAACAGTATGTAACAAAGGCCTGGCCGACAGGTTAGGAATAGAAGGACTATTCTGTTTTATGAAGCCAATTTTTTAACTGCATCAGTACTTCTCGGACAATTACAGGAAATTTGGACCATTTATGCAAAATATTACATTCAAGCAGGAAAAGGCCGGAACCAATCCCGATTTTATGTCCTTGACCTTGAATTCTAAGGCCATTTTTAAGTTCATGCAGCACACAATTCAGCACTCAATCATGAAACAGTTTTCCCACACTGAAATCCTGAAACTCAAAAAGAGGAAAAACTCGCCTTAAAGGGGACGGATCATTTTTTGGAAGCCTTTTTAATGAAGATGGTGACCCTGCTGTGTTCTGTACACACGAAAACCAACCCCTCACGCTCTCTCTGTCAATGCCAGGGGAATTGGGGTTTGGCACCAAACAGACCACTTGTTTCTCTCTATCACAAAGTCTAATTTAATCCACGTCAGCCTATTCATATCTGTTGTCCACATGAGGCGAAGGAACCAGATTAATAGCCATACAATCAAAAAGCTCGATTTGTGAGAAAAAAATTATTATATACGCTTGCAAGCCAACAGATCATCGGAAGTATCTAATTATTTCATATTCACACCTTTCTTCGGAGTTTCAACCAAATAAAGCCATTCTCCTTCATCTCCGCTATTAACCTCACATCGGTTTTGAAAAATTACATTTATTCATCTAGCTGTTTACTTTCGAGGAACTAGCTTGGGAGAGTTGTGTTTATGTGGGTGTATACTGTATAAACAAACACAAAGAAACACGCGAACGTCACTGAGTAAGGCTAAATAAACACAGCATCGCACTCCAGCAAGACGCGGCCTTTAATATACCCACAGATAACACCTCCTCCATTATGAAGCCTACTGTTATATACAAGAACATGATTATGACGTCTGTAGTTATATCGAACAAGATTATGATGCCTCATGTTATACAAACATATTTCCCCGAGAAACTCACCTTGGGGTTGAAATACAGTATAGAGCAGCTGACGTCAGATCCTATAAAGTTACGTTTAAGTCGACTTATAACTGTTTCTAAGTACAGTATCTTACGTCAGATGAAGCTACGTATCACCATCAGAGCAAAACTAACTATACACTGAAGACGTGGCCTTTGTAAGTTTAAAAGTAAGGGATTAAAAAAAATACACTCAAGAAATATCCAAGAAGTACAGACCTGGTGAAGATGCAGGAGGTTGTGTTGGACAAGTGGTTAACTAGTAGCTGCCTTCAGGAGTCGTGATGTGATTATTCTGGAAAAAAAAAGATAAAATTATGCACTGAAGATCTTTTTAGAGGGGGGAATGGGAGCTCCAACGTCTTATTTTTCTTTGATTTATGTATCAATCTGTATAGGGTAAGATGTTTTTTGTCTATGCATGAAATCAGTGATTATTAAAGAACGAAAATACATAATAATAAATACTAGGAACCGTTATTTTTCATAATATAAAAATATCAAAGTTTAATATAGATATTTAGACTTATAGCGAGTAGTACAGTATTTGAATGTCGTCATCTGGTGTAGTGGATTCAGCAAGATGGATACCATTTTTAAATTCCCTGGCCGATGAATCGTCAAAATACACAAGGTAAATATTTACTAGTTTGGCATGACCAAATTGACAAGCATCAGCAAGACTAACGGAGAGAGGTGTGGTCGTGACAAATGTTCCTTCCAGGTGCTGCTGTATACAGTGAGGTCAAGGTAAGACTGCACTCCGTCTAGACCACAAGTATCCTGGTGGGCGAGTCTCTTGAAGGTACAGAACAAATTCAGGAGCCAGTGCATGCTCAGCACATGTACGTCCAAACAGTGCCTAACGGAGACGTGACCGACCGCCCAAGCGGCTACAGCGATCAGAGGCGAAGAGGATAAAGTAATTATTAAATGTACTTTGTATGCATATAATTATGTTTTATAGTTTTGTAAGATGGCGTAATTATTTAGTCCTTATCGAAGAATTGTATCTAATTAAATTATTTTGAATCAGTAAAATAAAAATTCGTCGATAAAGAAACCAGATGAAAGACAGAATAGGAAAAGTGCAGTGACCTCAGGATATGAGTCACAGTCGCCGACAGACTAGTTAGCGTGAATGTTTTTGCCTTGACCACAGCACCGCCAACACAGTCCTGTGGGTGAACGAATAAAAGTCACAAGTCACAATTTTTGGCTAGATTGGATTAGGTTAATTTCGGCTAGATTCGTCCAGCGTCATCGCCAGACGGACGCAGCAACCATGGTGAAATGTCAGTAAGGTATACGTCTAATTAACAAAACAAAAAGAACAGGTGCAGCAATTTCCATGTAGTAACTATTATAAAGTTAACGACGAAACTTAAAATATAGATTCACTGTAATACATGATTCTAAAAAGTACATAACCTAGTTATTTACGCCTAATAGTTTGACGTAATCACCCCCTCCTTTCTGTTCAGTTATTTACTTAAATCATTCTTTTTAGGCAATTTTTATCAAGGGGCAGTGAACTCAATCAATTTTACAGTGTTAAATCATATAAAATTGTATTACATTCGCCAATGTTGATGTGTTGTATTATTTCATAATTTCACCAAACACTGCTTACAGTACATTAAAGCCACGAATAGGGAACAAAACACAGGCTGCTTCATACGTGTGGCTGGACGGTGAGTACAGTACTTCCCACGTCAGTTGCAGATATGGGTCGGCCCGTACCACGACACACGAATTATCGTATACCATCATCTGTTACCTCTATCATACAGTATATCACACCGACGCTATCACTTCGCCTGTCACCTTAGTATATTTTTTTTCTGGTAACAATATGAATCTATCTAAGGTGACTGGAGTCCAATATGTATAGTAATTCTAGATAAACACAAGATACGATGTTAGTCAAGAAAATCTTGCGAGATGTTGCCTCCATTCTACTCATTGCTACTCACTTTTTGCCCCTCTTCCCTACGTCCTGAGTTTCCTCGGGTTGTATCTTGGCTGTTCTTGGTGCCTACAACTAAGATGCTGAAAGAAAAACGTGATCTTAGCTGCAATAAACTAATTATCTTAGCTGTTGCTTAAAAATTTTCCTTTTATTGCCTGTGAATCTGTGATGATCAACATCAAGAAACGTAGTAACATTTTTCTTTCTTCTTTCATCTGAGCAACCAACCACAGTCCATATTACGTGAATTGAATGTATAAGTACACTTGAAACTACAATTGCGAGATATAATCAGTGATACGGAAATTCGCACAATATCAACACAGATATACAGTGTAAATATATAAATACACGTTATCATTTGAAAGAACTTCTGAGCGTGAAATAATAAATTGAACTTCGGGTATCCTACATTATCGTACTCGGGCATCCAGGGATCTCAGACGCCAGAGAGAAATAACTGAGACGACTAAGCTTGCCATACAGAGTAAACATTCATTGCATTTCCCTCTTTCCCTCCATGATCGCAAGCCGAGTCAAGTAAAAGTCTAACTATTTTAGCAAAATGACAATAAAGCATATTTGATAAATAAACTGCGTTTATCACTTCGACGAGCGTATCTTTTCGAAACAAGTAATCATTGTTCTGAGCAGGCATCCCCACCATAATTTTCGGCTGGAGGTTTACAGTCTCGAGTTGATCGAGGTGGAGTCAGTCATAGGAACCCGAGAGTACCGTGCAGTGAAGAAAGGAATACGGAAGGGTGAATGTGTGTGTGTGTGTACAGTGATTTGGTGAAGGCGAGGATTACTTAACTGATATATATTACCTGGTTGTGATAGTTGTCGGCAGCGAAATTATTGGTAAGTTTTGTACCAATGTATTGATTTGGGTGGTGGTTACAGGTATTATTCAGGGCATGCGGAGTCCCGTTATATAATATCCTTAACCCCTATTCCCTTCGGTGTTGATTTACAGGCTGATTTTTTTGTGAATGTTAGCTCTACAAAGGTTTTCTGAACACTTAACAAAATCAACAACGAAAATTTTAATTAGTGCGTGAGGCGCCTTCACCATTGCGAAATCAAGTTTAGGGTATGTATGAACTTGAACGTTTCACTGACGATTAGGCTTGCGCGCGCTAAATGCTTGAAAATACGTGCACTGTATATAGAATTTCCAGCTTATATCTAACTCATTACTTATCATTTTTATGCACAGTAGAGATTAGTAATGCCACATCCACTACTTTTACTTCTCACCTACTTTTGTGTGGGGTGCATCAAGCGGTTCAGAGGCCTCAGAAAAAAAGGGGGGGGGGGTAATACTAAGGGGAATGATATATAGCAAGTGTAAAAGCGACAGGAAAATAGAAACATCCACACAAACTTGCTCACGTCCTAAACTCCAATAGGCTACTCACACACAAAGCACCCTACATGGTTATGGCATTTGTCTATGTTTGGCAGCTAAGTGATTTCTACCCTTCCGTCACACTATTTAGTGTAGCCACACCTCATCATTTATCTTACGTAATCAGTATATCCACGGCTATAGATTAAGACAAGTATCCAGGCGAGCGTCTTCACCAGGTCTCGCAGGCCACTCCCAGATTATGTAACCATCTCCTCCCAGCGGGCACTCGGCGTTGTTTCGACGTTGAACCACACTGAAGTATAGTTTTAACGTTATTTCAGTGTCGATTCAAAGTTGAAACAGCGTTGTATAACTCCTAGGTTCTGTTTACAAATTGACATGCAACAGTAATTATAAAAATTATACCGATGTTTATATTTATCTGTGGTTAGCGATTTACGCAGATCTACCTGCAACTTGGCCGAACCTAATCTACTTAACGGGAATGTGTGTACTAAGATCATGATGGTTTCTTGCAAATTGTTTTGTATGTAGGCGATGGTGTACCCGGCTTCAATAAAAACAGTAAGAAACGGGTCTGATGTCACTTCGTTTTCTGTTATATACTATAAAAATAACAATCGTCTTCGAATACAAAGTCAGGTGTTCTGACCAACGAGTTGAAAGCCATGTGGTCTGAATATAAATGTCATCGTTTGTTTACGTCAATACATTCTGGGCATCACGCATGGTCAGATGGACCATCTTTGTTTTTATCCCGCTTGATTTACAAGGGTTGTGTAACATAGCTACAGGAATTTATCGCTAAAATGCCAAAAGTAAACTGTTGAATGACGAAAGGCAAACGCCTTCTTCAGGTTTCTCTCGGTTACTATAGTTTATTCACTCGAAGCTAGCAACAGAGGCTTAAGATCAGTTTGGAGCTGGTTGGTTGACGGACGGACACGCGAGCAGAGCCATCAGAATACATATATGTATACCTATACTGCACAGTATAAATTAATGTTCTGTCCGCGATAAGTCACTATACAGTACAGTTCTTTAGTATTTTATTTATCGTGTTTATATTCTATTTTACGGGATAATAGCTGTTGTGTTGATCTCTGATAATTTTCGCACTCTGGAAAGAAAAATTAGTTGACTATTTCCTGTGCGCACATCTTGATCTGGAGCGTTAAAATTTCCATATTCACTGCCATGTTTGTCAAGGGATCCACATGATGGCGGTGGTGTGGACGTACCGGCGCCTCTTACTAGGCTGCCTTCATCACACCTCAAAAACTGAGTATACTTGGAAAGAAACTGAAAGCAAATAAGCTGGCCGTGTATCTCTTAATATAAAATTGACGATATTTAGTATACGATTGAATCTACGTGCTTGAAAACTTTAGTTGTTGAAATGCCATGATGTACAGTATATATTATTATCAAAACACGGGATTTCACACCACCGCTACGACAGCTGTGGCGACAGAACAAAACATACATGACCTAACAGAGGGAATATTATATTACCAAGGTTGAGTTGGTTATGTAGTGTGACGCCATAGCCAGATCTGGACGTGGGTTTGTTCCTAGACCCTTCGGACGTTGTGGTCACAAAACGGATGCATTCAACTGGTGACTTGATGAGCATGGTGGTTTATATTATCGATCTGAATTTAATAATTTTCAAGAACAGTCATGGGGTGTACGACCTCATTTACGATGACCTTCTTGCCCTGGTCTTGTTTCAGGAATACCACCTTTTCGAAGCTCTGAAGAGATCTTGAAGTTTCGATATTTTGAGTACAGTACTAGCTAATAATTCCCACCAGGAAACTTGCTTCGAGACTCCTCCAAGGCTTCGAAAAGTGCAGAGTTCCATGTGTTAAAGGCGATATTGCTGAAAAAGATCAGGGCAAGAAGGTCATCGTTAATGGCGTCGTACACCCCATAACTGTTCTTGCAATTGGCTTAATTTATTAAGCTGGGGATTTTGTCATATTTGTTGTGTGTGTTTGTGACTGACGACTCGATGACGTAATATGAGTTTCTGACCTAATTAACTTTGATATGCGAGACTAATCTTTCAAGCTACAGTATGACTCCTTAAAACTGTGTATACAACTTGGTGGGCTACTGATTCATGATAAGTCAAATTTAATTCTCCATTTTATCTTCAAAACTCCACAAAAACATTAGGATACATAAATTTTCATTTAGGGGAGTAAAGGTAGTCGAGTACTGTACATTGCCGGCCACACACTTCATGTTTACCGAAATATATACTTTAATACAGTGTGCTGTATCTGGGTCGCCCCCAACGAGACATACGGGACCCACTTTCACTAGTGCAGTTTTATGTCACCAACATAGCCAGAGAACATTGAACAAATAATACAGCGTGATTTACTTAACCTCTTAGTTTTCTAAAAACAAAACAAAAATATTCGTTGCCTCAATACGTGATTTTGATGTACAATTTTACCTAATATTTCTTGGGATTTCGTAATACATTCCAATAATTCGTAATCCGCCCTCGTGAATACACCTTAATCCCGTTGTTTACCAAGAGCGTAACACAAGTCTTCTTATGGCGATCTTCATTAAATATGCCGAAGGCTTTACGACCAAGTCTGCATCCTGATTGCTGATGATGAACCAACTGTTGCTGTTGTCAGACCATACAATACATCTTTTGCAACTTTGTATGTACAATAATGTCAATTGCATGTACCGTGGTATAAAGTAACATTATGTAAAGGGTAAGAACGAGCATTATATTCTACTACATGACTGACGAGGTTGCTAGGGGTGGGGAGGTGAGTGGGCAGGATATGTAAGAGAGACGAACAGCCGCGTCAGCCCGGACAGAGGTTAACCCAGGAGAATTGCCTTGGTAACATAATCATCAGTGGCCCCTCCCCAGCTGTCTTTTCGTGGCTCTTAGTGCCTGCAATACCGCATCATGTTTGGTGCTCTCATTTCCGAGAGACAAACACTAATATACACTAAATGATTGGACTCTGTTTCTCTATTGCATAGAAGGTACATTTAGTATATAGTTAAAGCGAAGACAAATGGATACTATACTGCAAATTTCTGTGATGATTATGATGCAACACAGCCTGTTTGCAATCATTAAATAGCCTAAATAACAAAAAACACACTTGCGTTTTATTCTTAACAATACTTACATATTTTAATACCTAATCGTGGCTTTCAAGCTGAAAAATGACGTGTTACAAAATATGAAGATAAAATAACTTCATATTATAAGATACTGTATCCCGCCATCCCTGCTAAGAGCTTGTGAGCATGGACGAGGGCCAAGCCACCAAAAAATAGGTGCTTTAGGTAAAAAGTCACTCTGTGTAGCTAAGGTAAATAATTCACTTGTATTATATATCAAGGTGTACTTACTTGGGTGTGGTGTGGCTTACGTCGAAGTATTTACGAAAGTACGAATCCCCTGGTATACCTTGGTGAATTATAGACCTAAATTAACCAAGCAACATTGAGTGACCTTCGTATCTGGTGTTTTTTCTTTTTCTTACCGGTGGATCTTTTACCAGCAGTTAGTGACTCGTGTAACAGTGGGTTATCACAAAGACTATAAACTCAGACAAGAATGAGTGTAAAATAGTCGTTAATAATACTAGCTGGAACCTCAAGGCACAGTGACGTCATTTTATGTTGTCCAGAGTTAGTATAGCACTGCAGCCGTACTTAAGTGACGTCACGTTGTCGTCTGCATGTTATCAAAATCTTGGACTACAACCAAGAATAGCCATTTTATAATCAGTAAAATATTGATGACACCATTATATTTCAGTTTAACTTTGTTGTCATAGGTAGTAAAAAATTCGTCATTTTATTAAAGAAAAAAGTGAATACTTTTTAGAAGATTATGGATGCGTTTTGATTTTTCACACTGACGTCTGGCGACACTGTAGCCAAGACTTCAGGACGCGCAGTTCACCATGCCGGGTAGATCGCATATCCCTGTGTTATTTGCAAGAGGAGAAAGGATACACATCCACATTTTCATTTTCATCGGTTTCCAAAGGACAGAGATAGGCAACTTAACCCTTTCACCGCGTGTCACACACTTGACATTTTATTCTGGCCACCGCCAGACGATTTTATTCAGTTTAGTGTAACCTTCCACTGTGAAATGGTTAAGTATTTAATTTCTTGTGAGTTATAGTGAAAATGTGCAATTATATATTGAAATACACTTAAAATCGGAGGCAGCAGCTTCATCAGTCACTCCGACTCACTAGATACGAATTTGACAGGAGTCGCAGATGGCAAAATGCTATTGACATTCCTAGAATAAACGAGAAGAACTGTGAGGACTTGCACGGAATTTATCGAGTGTTCCTTCATAATATATATATATATATATATATATATATATATATATATATATATATATATATATATATATATATATATATATATTGTGCATGATTATTAGTTATTAATAATTAATGTTATT